TGTTATAACTTAAATTCTACCCGATCCTGTTTTGATTTCATGCCAGTGCAGCTTTCATTTCATAAAAACAATCTGATCAATCAAAGCAAAAATATCTATAATTCCTCAAGTCTTTGTTTATTTTTTATGAGCTGTATACTTTTTGGAAAGCTTTTTTATTACACCCTACTTCTATTGATTTTTCTGATTGGTATATTGATCAGTTTACTTTCATGAACTTTGGGAGACAATGACCTTCATACACAAAGAGACATGAAGATATTTATAAAAATGTGTGGCATTAATGCAGAGATCATTGGCACACAGCTTGATCCATCCTAGTACAACATGGAGGAAAGAGACTAAAACTGCAAATGTGAAAAGCACAAAAAATAAACAGTTTAGTAAAAGCAAATTTGTCACCACCAGACTTACTTTTCTCTTTATTAAAACAGTTCCTCTTCTTTACTTATTCCTCAGGAAGTTGTTTATAAGTTGGTTCTGATTCTTTATAAATTGCTTTTAACTCCATTTTATTTTTTAAGACTACAATAAAGTAGGACATTTCCTTACACTATTGGTGAAAATTTGTCGAATCAAATTAACTCAACTGTTTCCTACTGTGATTGGTCTAGGTTGTACACCATTCTGCTCTTTCAGTTTTGTGACAATATCTTCAACACACAAGAGAAGAAATAAAAGAACAAGATGTGTCTTAGTACAAAAGGAGAAATGCATATTTAAGTGGGCTGTAATAAACTTCTTAATGTAATTACTGTCATGGGTTTAACTTTAGTTTGTTTTAAAACAAATTTAACATGTTTCTGCCAATCACAGATCATTATAGTTTTGTGAATCTGTTGTCTTGATAAGTTTTTTAAAAAGTTATTTGTCTTTCCAGGTCTCATCACTGTGAATGTATCACAGGGTAAAGATGCCATCTTACCCTGTTCTCCAACCACAAAGGAAAATCTCTCATTTAAGTCATTTAAGTGGAGAAAAGATGGTCAGAATGTGTTTTATTATGATGCTGGGAATCATTACAACGATGGACTTGATGGTCAAGGTCCACAGTTCAAAGGACGTGTGTTATTTTTTCAAGATCAGCTACGTTCTGGTGATGCCTCCATTCAGATCCAAACTGTAACGATTCAAGACAGTGGAATCTACAGCTGTGAGATTTCAGGTCTTAATTCAGGAATTCAAACATTCAACATCAAGCTTGTTGTCGGTAAGTATTTGACTTTTGTCATAATTTCAAAAGATAAAAATCAACTTTTTGTTCTTTTAATATTTATTTTCTTCATGATTCATTTCATTTTCATCTCTGTTTTAATTTTAAATGTGGATTTCCCTTTGACACATTGATACTAATTTATGTTTTTATTGTTTGTTTGTTTGTTTTTTGCTGGAATAATGTTCCAGCAAATATTCCAGGAGTCTGTACTCATGAGTACAGACATGAGTTTTTATTACTGTTAACAGATAAATTGATGTTGCAATAATTACATGCAAACAGTTTTAGACCTGGCCTTTTATTTTTGCTTACAGTCTCTTTAGTTTGACCCCATGAGGTGCTGGTTATTCTGGGAGATGTTCACTGATTTGAAATGTAACTTTAGCATTTACTGCTGACTTCCTGAATACACACTTAGTTTTTATATCTGATTTATGATGTATAAAAAGTATGAAAACAATTTCTTATCCTGCTGAATCACAGCACTCCCCACAACTAAATCTTAGTTACTGCAAAAATCTGTATTTGAAATGTTCACTTATATAAATTTGATGCAATACTATTCAAATTATTTTTAGACATGGGTTAAAATGGAGGTACATACAAAATGTTGTGAAAAATAGAAATAAAAATAGTTTTATTGTATCAGTGTTTGAAACACAAAGGAAGTTAGGAGACACCGAATATAAACCAGACAAATGATTTGTTTGATCCCTCTTTACTTTAACAGCCTCAGTTCTTATAGATTACCACCAAATCAATAATTTCAAAGGCTTTTAATTTACTTTTAGGATTAATCACTTATACCAAAAAGATATGATCATTTTCTTATGTTTGTTAC